GTAGATCATAAGGACAACCAAAAAATGGGATAGTTCTGGAAATAATTCGAAATTAAAGCAAACAAACAAAATAGTAATAATAATGATAATAAATACTGATATAGGCATATATAAATGCATGAATAAACACAAACACATACACATACACACACACACACACACACACACACAAAACACACATACACACACATACACACAAACGCGCACACACTAGCTATGTAGCAAAATAATACTATACTCGTGACCCATTTCTCAAACCTCCGACACAACCGCTTGATAAATGTTGGGCTACATTCTATACAAGCTTTATCTAATCAGTTGTATCAAATTATTCCTTGAAGTCATTAGTATATAGACTGTCATCTTAATACGAGCACTGACGAACGCCTAAAAAAATCGCCATGTTTTTTTTTTATTTTTTTTTTAAGGCTACGTGCCCCCCCCCTAGTCCTATACCCGCCGACCGGAAACCACATTCTAAATATTCTCTTTTATCCTTAATCTTTCCCAATTTTATCCTTATATATTCCCCTCTTTTCCCTCGTATATCTGCATCCTTTGTCATGTCATCGATATTGCCATTTTTTGTTACTGAAATGACGCAAGTTTCAGACCCGACATGATCACCTTTCGGCAAAAGTTAACAGCTTGTATTTGGCGGTTCTCGAACATTCACTGATAACAGAGATAACGTTCCCCTCTCTCTACATTTGAGCTTTAATCCTTGTAGGGTCTGTTGTAGTGTCTGAGGAATAAAATTACCCTCCTGTTGTAAGTGATGCAAGTAAAAACGGCAGTGTTGTAGTGCCTAAGGAGTAAAATTGCCTCCTTGTTATAAGTGATATAAGTAAAACCGGCGCTGTTGTAGTATCTAGGGTAAAATTGCCTACCTGTTGTAGGTAATATATGTAAGACTGGTAAATACGTTGGATTTTGGGAAAGTTATTTTAATGGAATGAAAAAAAATCAAAACGAGGGATTATTACTTTTTTATTAATATCTTGCGTGCCCTTGAAAATGGGAAACGAAATGTATATAAGTGTATGTGAAGGAATATTTATAACTGTAATACTGAGTACATAGATAACAGATGCAAATATATTTATGTGTCTAATAAAAGAAGATAAAAAAAACAACAACACCTCATTTGATTACTTGGTCACTTATCTAAATTATTGGCATAATTATTACCATTATAGTCGATAGATTTAAGTAAACATTGGTGATATATGATAACAAAATGTTGAAAATATTTGTTAATTACTTAATAATTTGATGTTTATTAGGTTACCCTATTTACACATGAATACTTAATGGGATGTCGAGAGTTACCAACGATGAATGATAATATGGGTTTATAGATCATATGCAAAGAATAAAAAAGTATATATACAATTAGACTGCTGTATTACCATTTGGTTAATTGTCCTTAATCTGCTTATCAATGAAGTGTCTTTTATCTTTAAGGGGGCCGTTCCTGGCGGTGGGGGGGGGGGGGCAAAAGATATAAGGTCAGAGTGGTCGAAAATGTGTTATGGTCAGTTTCATATTCGTAAATGAGAGTAGAATTACCCACTTGAATATAAACTCCCGCAACTAAAGAGTCACATGAAGATAAAGTGTCTTAGTAAGTATATATATATATATATATATTTATATATATATATATTATATATATATATATATATGTGTGTGTGTGTGTGTGTTGTGTGTGTGTGTGTGTGTGTGTGAATATATATATATATATATATATATATATATATATTATATATAATATATATATATAATAATATATATTTTTTTTTTTTTTTTTTTTTTTTTAAGTGAAAGAGATGATATGAAACACGAAAAAAAAAATCCTTACGCGACTTTTCACATTTCTTTCCCATAAAATAAAGTAGATATGATTTGATTTTGACATATTCATCATACAAGTATGTGAAGGGTTCGATGATAATACATGAGCAGTTACAAGACTGTATCTCTAAAAATAAACTTGCAATGAATAAATATTTACTGGGTGGTCGCCCTCGCCAAGGACTCACGTGAGACTTTGATTGTAATAATTTTACGTATGCGCTTTCATTTGAAACTAAATAATCGATTAAACATCAATATGTCATTTTAAATCTATTTTACGAAAAAAAATGTAAAGAAAGTATGATATAATTAATTCGTGTAAACTCCTAAGATAGGCCTACAAATATCTGATACCAATTGTTACATCACAAGATGAAGCGTCCACGGTAAATGAGTATTAGCGACTTGTATTTCAAAACATTTTTGACATATCAGCGTTTTCTGAACTGTTTTTTCTAACGAACAAGAAACAGTTCATTGTCCTTCCATAACAAGTACTCCGCTCGCGATTAAACGTTTATCGCTTGTTTCGAGGCGGAATCACGTGATTAGGCGATGCGAAAGAAGAGTAGACTGGAATAAAAATAAAATGAATAAATAAAATAAATTATTGAATAAATTGGATCTAATGGGTATATGCGCATATTCGCATATACACGTGCACGAACATGTGTCTTTACATTGATTTACATGCGTGTACACATGTAGACGAATGTATACACAAGAAGACATAAATAAAAGAGGCATTAAACACGAAACAACCGATTTTATATAACGGTCATGTTGTCTTGGGTCATTTGTTTGTTTGTTTCTATAACTTAGAGACTAATGATCATGTCTTTACCTAGCAAAGTGCGTTAGAAAGAGAAATAATAGTAGTTTCTACAGTAATGAAATGGTAAAGATCCATCAATGAAAAAATATAAAAACATGAACTTCAAATATCCAACTTATTGTTTGCTTGTTTTACGATTTTTCTTTTTTTCGAGCTACAGTTGATTCCTTGGATATATCTTTGGAAAGCTTGTGAAAATGCGTAGACGACTACTTGTCAGATCTTTAAAATTTGGCTTTTTACTTTTTTATACGAAATTTTGAAAATCGGACAAAAAAGTGAAAATGATTTCTTTTTCTTCTGAGGAAACTAAATCGAATTTCTAAAAAAAGGATACGTAATTGTCTTAGGAATTCATTGCTGTTCATTCACTGTTTTTCATGACATAATTCATAATCCTCTAGGTCAAGGAATCAACCGCGCAGACACATGTGAAAAAAAAAAAAAAAAATAGGCTTACACCAAATATCCAAAAATCAAGAAAATCCATGACCTTTTTTTTTTGTTTGTTTTTCTGTTTTTTTTTTTTTCTTTTAAGAATACTTACCAATATGACCCCCCTTATCCCCATATTCCGTCCCCCCCCCTCAATTTATGGACGGTCCCCATATGACAGAAAAAGAAAGGAAGAAAGAAAGAAAAGAATATATATACATGATACATATATAAATATATTTATATACATAATTGACCAAGATAATGAAGGGGGGGGGGAAGTAGAACAGTACGGTAAAAATTAATCTTTCCGTAAAAAAATAGAGTAATAATGATAGTGATACTAAATAATGATAAGAAGTGAAATAATACTTATGATAACAATAAAGATCTAAATACGAGTGTCATTATTTTTACGGTAGATGAAAACTGGCGAGGTTACAGAATGAAATATAACTAAGACAAAGAAAAAAAAAGGCTGACAAAAGAAAAGAAAAGAAAAGAGACTCAGAGAGAGAAAAAACAGTGCATGCAACATCAAATATCAATGTCACGAAGTCAGTCATAAATAAAGATGACAGGGTGACTCAGACCGAAATCCTGATTATATATTCGTTATTACAGCTAAACCGCGTGTCAAAATGTAGGAAACGACACGGTTGTAAAAAAAAAAAAAAAAAAAAAAAAAAAAAAAGGTTTTATACAAAGCATTTTATGGCCCACCTTTGTTGTATGAGAAGGGGGAAGGGGTAATCTATTTGATTTTATTCCTGTTTTCTTTATTATCTCTTTATCATGCCTTTGTCTATTTCATTATTTCATTTATCTGATGCTTTATCATCAACTCGTGCATTTACCTGTGTCTTTTATATCAAATCAGGAATTTTGGAACGGTTACCTTACAAAGCAACGAAAGTACATTTGTTTGTTTGTTCACCCCAAAAAACTTAACAGATCAATCATCATGTCAATAGTCCTTGAAAACCACATTCCTTATTAATAACGATATCAATTGTAACCTGTAATTAAGTGTGTGAACCTTTCTTGCGGGCCATTCAGAAGGTATTTTGTCCTGGAGCGGTGGAGGAAGAGGAGGAGGAAGCGGAGGTGGAGGTGGAGAAAAAGGGGGTGGTGGGAGAGGTGGAGGAGGTGGAGGTGGAGAGGGAAAAGGGGGTGGTGGAGTGGAAGTGGAAGTGAAGGTGGAGAAAACGGGGGTGGTGGGAGAGGTGAGGAAGCGGAGGAGGATGTAGAGGTGGTGAAGGTGGAGGAGAAAAAGGGGGGTGGGTGAGGTGGAGGAGGTGGAGGTGGAAAGTGGAGTGAAGGTGGAGGAGAAAAAGGGGGTAGTGGGAGAGGTGGAGGAGGTGGAGGTGGGTGGAGGTGGGGTGGGGATGGAGGTGAAGGAGAAAGAGGAGATGGAGAGGAGGAGGAGAGAGGAGGAGGAGGAGGTGGTGGTGGTTGTGTTTGCGGAGGAGAGGTAGCGGTGAAGGTGAAGGTAATGGAGAAGGGGGAGGAGTAAAAGGGGGGGGAAGAGGAAGAGAAAAGAGGATAAAGATGAAGAAAGGGAAGAAGAGAAGGGCGAAGAAGCGGAAGAATAAGAAAAGCATGTAGGTAAAGCTGATGAAGGAGGAGCAGAAAAAAGAAAAAAGTGTGAAGAAGGAGAAGAGGAAGAAAGAAAAATTAAAACGAAGAAAAGCAACTCCCACCAAAAAGTATGATAGAGGAAAAAATCGAGTAAACAGGAAAGGAAAATGAAATTAGAATCAACAACAAAAAAAGAAAAAGAATACCGAAGCCAGAGAAGGAAGAGAAGGAGGCGGAGAAACACAGTAGAGGTTGAGGACGAGAGGAGAACGTCAGTCGGTCCCTGGCG